GATCCCATAAGCTAAGCAGGGCAGGGCCTGGTTAGTAATATGATGGGAAACCTCTGGGGAACACCTCAAGTCAGGGCAGTTGTGGCTGCAGAAGTAGTTTACCCAGAGCCTTGAATGAATAATGTTTTATTATATGTTTCTTAGTATTTACTAGACAGACTTTAGATTTTGGACTGTCTTCGTACAGAGCTCATTTTTAATTAGAGCCATTGATGCATAAAGGGTAGATGTGACCAATCTCCATAAATGTTGGAGCCACACTTCATCCATGAGCACTTCTCTACGGGGTGTCATTGAGCTTGGGGGTTAGCGTTGTCCATCTATGTACAGTCTATGCTTTTAAGTTGGCATTTTTTAAAACAAATTTTCAGTAAAATGTAGAGGGTTAAGAGAAAGCACAGAGACTAAGGGGCGAGCGATATGGGCAAAAATAAAAATCTTGATATTTTTTACCCAACTCCCGATAACGATGATGTCACGATATCTTTAAAATCAATAATTTTTACACAAAATGATCTGCAATATTCTGCTTGCCAGGGCATCTACACAATACATCTCCCACATGTTTGCAAAACATAAATATAATTGAAGTAACAGAAGAAGAACACATCCAAAAAGGCTCAATATTTACTGAAATGTTCAAATTAAGCAGTGGTTTGCTTTTTAGGCACACATTTGACGAACGGGCATCTTGCTTGCTCTAAATGTAGTGTGTATTGAAAAAAATGACGATAATACGAAAAAGCAGATCTTCAAATTGACTTTCACGATATTATTGTGTACGATATATTTGGCCCACCCCGAACAGAGACCAATTTCTCTGTTGTCTTTGCGAGATCAAAACGTATGATAAAAGACGCAGCGTTTAGGACCAATATATCGTCACGTCCGACACAAACACGGGATAAATCCAAATCGGGTTCAGAGCACGAAACAAGAGGATCCTCATTCTAATTAGGCGCCTCTCTCCGACAGTCCAATTTGCATATTTTGAACAAGGTTTTCTCCTCCACCTTTGCGTTGTCAAATCTCCGCTTCTCAATTCATGAGAAATGTGACCAAAATAGCCTGTGGTAATGAAGGCGAGACGAGCGAGGCCGTCATCGCAGTGTTTCTCCGCCGTGATCAAAGACGCTCTCGACGTTTACAGGGCGAAACCAGCCCCTGCCGCTAACACATCATTTACAGAGACAGTGGAGTCGGGCGGGAGACTAAAGTTGGTTTAATTTGGAAGAAGAGAAACAACAGAATGTGTGACACAGACCAATTATGACACGCACACAGCTGTCGAGAGTTTAAAGGGCTGTGGTGGAGTCGAAGAGAAAACTGGAACTAGGTTTGGTGAGATATAGCCTGGTCTTACCATGTGTAAACTCTGGTCCATGATCATCTCCTACATGTACATCTGGTCTTACAATGTGTAAACTCTGGTCCATGGTCATTTCCTACATGTACGTCTGGTCTTACCATGTGTAAACTCTGGTCCATGATCATCTCCTACATGTACGTCTGGTCTTACCATGTGTAAACTCTGGTCCATGATCATCTCCTACATGTACGTCTGGTCTTACCATGTGTAAACTCTGGTCCATGGTCATCTCCTACATGTACGTCTGGTCTTACCATGTGTAAACTCTGGTCCATGGTCATCTCCTACATGTACGTCTGGTCTTACCATGTGTAAACTCTGGTCCATGGTCATTGCCTACATGTACGTCTGGTCTTACCATGTGTAAACTCTGGTCCATGGTCATCTCCTACATGTACGTCTGGTCTTACCATGTGTAAACTCTGGTCCATGGTCATTGCCTACATGTACGTCTGGTCTTACCATGTGTAAACTCTGGTCCATGATCATTTCCTACATGTACGTCTGGTCTTACCATGTGTAAACTCTGGTCCATGATCATCTCCTACATGTACGTCTGGTCTTACCATGTGTAAACTCTGGTCCATGATCATCTCCTACATGTGCGTCTGGTCTTACCATGTGTAAACTCTGGTGCATGGTCATTTCCTACATGTACGTCTGGTCTTACCATGTGTAAACTCTGGTCCATGATCATCTCCTACATGTACGTCTGGTCTTACCATGTGTAAACTCCGGTCCATGATCATCTCCTACATGTACGTCTGGTCTTACCATGTGTAAACTCTGGTCCATGATCTTCTCCTACATGTACGTCTGGTCTTACCATGTGTAAACTCTGGTCCATGATCATTTCCTACATGTACGTCTGGTCTTACCATGTGTAAACTCTGGTCCATGATCATTTCCTACATGTACGTCTGGTCTTACCATGTGTAAACTCTGGTCCATGATCATCTCCTACATGTACGTCTGGGTCTTACCATGTGTAAACTCTGGTCCATGATCATTTCCTACATGTACGTCTGGTCTTACCATGTGTAAACTCTGGTCCATGATCATTTCCTACATGTACGTCTGGGTCTTACCATGTGTAAACACTGGTCCATGATCATTTCCTACATGTACGTCTGGTCTTACCATGTGTAAACTCTGGTCCATGATCATTTCCTACATGTACGTCTGGTCTTACCATGTGTAAACACTGGTCCATGGTCATTTCCTACAAGTACGTCTGGTCCTACCATGTGTAAACTCTGGTCCATGATCATTTCCTACATGTATGTCTGGTCTTACCATGTGTAAACTCTGGTCCATGATCATATCCTACATGTACGTCTGGTCTTACCATGTGTAAACTCTGGTCCATGATCATCTCCTACATGTACGTCTGGTCTTACCATGTGTAAACTCTGGTCCATGATCATTTCCTACATGTACGTCTGGTCTTACCATGTGTAAACTCTGGTCCATGATCATTGCCTACATGTACGTCTGGTCTTACCATGTGTAAACTCTGGTCCATGATCATCTCCTACATGTACGTCTGGTCTTACCATGTGTAAACTCTGGTCCATGATCATCTCCTACATGTACGTCTGGTCTTACCATGTGTAAACTCTGGTGCATGGTCATCTCCTACATGTACGTCTGGTCTTACCATGTGTAAACTCTGGTCCATGATCATTTCCTACATGTACGTCTGGTCCTACCATGTGTAAACTCTGGTCCATGATCATTTCCTACATGTACGTCTGGTCTTACCATGTGTAAACTCTGGTCCATGATCATCTCCTACATGTACGTCTGGGTCTTACCATGTGTAAACTCTGGTCCATGGTCATTTCCTACATGTACGTCTGGTCTTACCATGTGTAAACTCTGGTCCATGATCATCTCCTACATGTACGTCTGGTCTTACCATGTGTAAACTCTGGTCCATGATCATCTCCTACATGTATGTCTGGTCTTACCATGTGTAAACTCTGGTCCATGATCATCTCCTACATGTACGTCTGGTCTTACCATGTGTAAACTCTGGTCCATGATCATTTCCTACATGTACGTCTGGTCTTACCATGTGTAAACTCTGGTCCATGATCATTTCCTACATGTACGTCTGGTCTTACCATGTGTAAACTCTGGTCCATGATCATTTCCTACATGTACGTCTGGTCTTACCATGTGTAAACTCTGGTCCATGATCATCTCCTACATGTACGTCTGGTCTTACCATGTGTAAACTCTGGTCCATGATCATCTCCTACATGTACGTCTGGTCTTACCATGTGTAAACTCTGGTCCATGATCATCTCCTACATGTACGTCTGGTCTTACCATGTGTAAACTCTGGTCCATGATCATCTCCTACATGTACGTCTGGTCTTACCATGTGTAAACTCTGGTCCATGATCATCTCCTACATGTACGTCTGGTCTTACCATGTGTAAACTCTGGTCCATGATCATCTCCTACATGTACGTCTGGTCTTACCATGTATTTAATCCAATGAACTCATGTTGAATCCATTTTAAATCTTTTTTGTATTTAATATAAATGCAAATAAAAAAAAAAAAACAGAAAGACATAACATAATATTACAAATAACAGCAACAATGACATACGAGGCGGAGCAGTGGTGCAGTGGTTAGCCTCACAGCAAGAAGGTCCTGGGTTCGATTCCTCCATACACAGTGGTGATAAACGACTTCTGTGACTCTGGTTGTGCCGGTGGAGACTTAATGCTGTGACTAACTTACTTACTTACTTATTTAATGAATGGATTTAGTTTAGTATTTTACGATCACACTAATAAATGCTCTTTTTTTTCACATGATTTTGACAAAACAGGTAATTTTGGATCATTCCCAAGGCACACTAAATTCTCGTTTGTTTCCGAACGTTCCGCGGCGCCCTGGACTTTCCCCTGGCTCGTCCTCCGCCCTCTGCTGCGGATTATCGGACTTGAGTTACCGGCGGCGAGTCCTGGTCGTCGCTGTCATCGTGCCACCAGATACAAACCAGTGGTGACAGCCGACAAATGTCCCGACACGGAAACCAACACCTGCTATTTGAACTGGGACTTAAACACATGTCCCCAGTGTCGGCCTAAGCTTTCTGTCAGTCAGAGAGAACCCAGAGAGAGAGAGAGAGAGTCGGTGCTCCAGGATGCTAACCAGCGCTAAATGACAACAACGGTGATCTCAGAGGACTGTTGATTCGCCAACAATAGAGCCATTGGTCCATAAGCAGCAGATAATAAATATCCGTAAATGAAAATAAATCACCACTGTCCTTGGACCCGGCTGAATCGGCAAAGAACCACTCTCCTCAGACGACTTAGCAAAGTTGTTGATTAGCCAACAGCAGATAAGAGAATCAAACAATCCAACACAAGAAATACAATCATAACAAACAGTCCAATGTGAATAAATGTCCTTAAATGTCTTCGTTTGTTGCATGTTTGTGCCAAAGGTTCCTGATATTAGCGAGGATGGATCTAAAAACAACTCCAGGGCTTGAAGAACCAATGTTGTACGGTTGTGATAGTATGTCGTGGACTAATCCGGTGCTCTTGCTTTAAAAGACAGTCATATTTTCCTGTTTTAATCAGCATTTCAGCCAAACTTACTCACACCAATTTCTCTCCTAGCCTGGTCTGACCACACCACAGTACTCATTTCATTTTGTACTAAGGTTTGGATTTGCTCCATTGACTCCGTGAACAGGTGGGAGGGGTTAACTCCTTTTGCAGATTGAAACGATTGGATCAGAGTTTACTGTGACGTAATGAGCCCGAGTGAGTGAGGCATTTAGCCTAGCTTTAGCATTTAGCCTAGCTTTAGCCATCTCCTTTGCCACTAACGGAGCCCGTGGGGAGTAGAGCCACAACATCTTTGCTTCAATGAC